CTTTCGGTTGATCTTTCCTTCATAGCCTGTGCTTGCATCTATAATCAAAAGTGTATTGCTTCAAAAAAAAACTTGACGCCAACATTCCCACAAAACTTGGCCAACTCTCGTACACTCCGATCAAAGAACTCTTTCCACAGTTCACAAACCGCCTAATGAGAGGAGCTACTAGCCTTTGAGACTTAATTGTCTCTACTCTGCATTGCAAGCGCCATTCCCTCAGTCGCATTGCTCCCCTAGTTTCTAAACCAGTTACGAATCAACGACACAACCGACCAACAGATAACTGCCCCCTGTCCCCCAAGGATCTAATTTTCCACCAAGGCGTGTTCCAACAGCTCAGATATTGCAACAGAGGTACTCGCTTCAACAGTCTCGGTTCTTGAAGTTTAGACATCCCATAACTGCGTTCTGATATTTTCGTAAAATCATCTTGTATTTCCAACGTACTCGCGAGAAAGTAATATCCTACACATTAGCTTAAATATCAATTTATCTGTTCATTTTGCTTAATACAACCAATGTGGTTCAGCTGAAGTTAGTACGCTGAAAAGTTTGCTCCTATATTTTCTTTTCTATGGTCGTCCACAGTTTTAGTTAGTTGGATGTGTACATAAATCAAGTGAGAATAGGTACATGAGTTATATGAAGTAGGGTCAAAAGAAAGAGATGCAGCTAGGACAAAAAATGAGTGAGGAGTGATGGCACAAAGGTTTAGCAGAAAATTAGTCGAAGAGATTGCCATCATTTGCCAATTCGATAAGTTGCAACTCTATGCTAAGGATTGAGGTTTGGCTATAACTTTAGGATTAGATGGGACTTCTAACAAGATGAGTGAATTTACGTGATTCAGGAATAGAGAAGGGAAGAAGTCCATCTTTACATCAGCAGTTGAAAATCAAGACAGACAGAGGGCCCCAGAAAAAGAGAGAATGGGATGAAGATGAGAAAGAGGATAACTGGGTGATGAGTCTGAAGCCCATAGAGAAGAAGATGCCTATACATATGAATCACTGGTTTTTTAAATCCTAAAATGGGATACGAAATTGACAGCCAGACAGTGATTTTTATTTGTAGAAGGAAACGATTGACAGGCGGAGTGTAAATGAGATTCTGAAGCCGGTGGTGAAGGTGATTATGCTTCACTAAATCCGATTGAAACAACACACTGTTTGACGGCACTGGAGGAAGTACGTAGGAGATATAAAGTGAGTTTGATAGAAAGAAATGCGGTACTAGAATCTAGGACAAAAAGTAGGAGCTAGAAGGGATGCCACAGCAGTTAAAAAGAAAAATGGTCAAGTAAAATGCCATCACTTGCCACTTTGATAAATTGTAAATCTGTGCTAAGGATGGCGCCTCTCACTGACGATGCCGGCAAAAGGTCTTGGAATGTACCCACTCAACGGTCCGATGCTTGAAATCACCATTAATACTCTGCCGGAGAACGCAAGACTAGGTGTGTTCCATGAGTTCCCCTTATTTCCCCGACCAAGTTGCAAAACGAGGTCAAACCAAGACTATACAGTTAAAGAAGACCGTGACCAGACAAAAGGCTACACCATCTTGGTCCTT